TTGGTTACCCTTTGATAGTTGGGGCATCACCTTCACTATTTCGTTCTTGAAAGTAGTAGTCGGTGACCCATTTCTCCGCGCTGTATCCTGGTTGCCGAGCTCTGCTTTCGCGCCAGCTGCGTCCCTTGCTCTCGGCAACGTCTTTCTTCTGCCAGTCATCTACTCCGTCACGCGAGGAACGTAATTTTGTTCATCTTCTTCTAGCTTTATGAGGTGCGGTCGCCGACTGCAGCGGCATTTCGCCTTGATGGCGCAAAAAAGAAGTGGCAACGGTGCGGGACGCTCAGTCAAATATTGCATTGTAGCAGAGTCGCACCCCAGAAATCTGGCGAGTGCAGGCGAGCAGAGAGCGGTAAGTCTAGGTAAACACGTACCAGTTTTTTCTCGCGTCCTGGTCAGGCATATTCGGTGTCGGCAACGCCGGAGGGGTGATGGGGTGTAATCCGACAAAAGCGTTGTACTCGTACAATACAATCCACACTTTGTCTCACAAGGACCGCTGGCAGAAAATGGCTGTTGCTATACTTCTAGACGAACACGCCACAACGCATGAGCGCAAAAAATGCTGCACATGGTATGCATGTCACTACAAAAGATAAACGATATACCACTGCTGCCGACTTGACCGACGGATTGCAGCAGGTTTCGGCGATACTACTGCTGTATCCGCGACAGCCAGAAAAGTAGACGGCGTGTCGTCTATTTTGTAGGTAGAACACAAGTACTCTCGGCATGTATTTGCCCACACGCAAAAAGTACAGACATGCAGCGGTGGATCACAAATTAGGTACAGCACCTGCGTGGCACCAGCATGTTTTGATGTGTATTTAAGAGGACACATGTGGGTGCAGCAGCCTGTACCATGAATACCACCTGGCACATGCTTCGACTTGCAGTGCGAGACAAAGAGTTGGGGGTGGCGCGGGTGCGAGCGAGTGCGGTGAGACAACAGAGAGGGGACGAGAGCGAGACACACACACACACACCAGGCGGCGTATACAGAAAACACGCTTCTCACAGACCTGCTGCTGTAACCTCGAGGCCCGAGTCATGATGGCTTCTACTTTCAACAACCTGGCTGGCTCTATCCAGCAAGTAGGACATGCTCTTGGTATCGTGTTGCTTCGCGCTTCGCCTTGGCCCGGGGTGTTGCCTGGCGCCGAGCAGGGAAAACTGCATGCGGCTGGACCTACAGCAGCGCCATTATCCGCCCTGTCTGCTGAATCCAGACGGGACTTGCCCTTGGTGACCACCAACCCCATCTTTGTTGGGCCCTACCATGGTATTGCGCGTGTGGGGTCGTTGTCTGTGGAGTGCGGGGTGTGGTTGAAGGGGCACGCCCTCTCGCCATCACATGCGGCGAGATTTATTTGGAAAGTTGCCTTGCAGCGTGTATAAAATGAAAGTGTTGGTTCCAAATATTTGGACCCAAATTTCCAGAAATTTTGGACAAAAAATTTGGAATGTATAAAACGCCCCTAGTCTAGTCCTCGACAGTCCTCTGCCTTTTAGTTTCCATTGTTGTGAAATACCTGTACACATTTATTGTTTAGGAATCGAGCGTCAAAATGTACGTGGCCCATGGAGCAGCAGTTGCAAGCACGCCTCCAGAGATGCACACACATCATGTTCTGCGGCCATGTAGTAAATAGTAGCATCCGCAACATATGATATACGGCAGCCGCAGCATAACATCAACTACTACGGTAGCACCACGGCACAATCTTTGAAAGCCATACGCGCACCGGCCGAGCATGCCACGGACTCCGCGCCAAGCCGTTGAACGCTGTCTAGCTCCCGAAATGACAGGGCTCGGGAGGCGTAACGAAGTTGCCTCCAAACGGCTCCACTTCTTGCGCCCTCCTTGCCAACAGAGGGTGGCAACCTTGGATCTCCCTCGGCTCCACCATCTGTCGCGTCGGACCCACTCCTTTCGCACGGCACTGCTGTACGCGTCTATATGTGTTCCCTTTTCTAGGGTTACCTCGCATAGCGTGCAGAGAGGCGAGCGGAATGGCCTAGACTATCTGTCGTTGACTTTTATTGGCTTGCGGGACCTTCGGGTCCATTTTATTTTCGTATACCTTTTTTTGGGTAAGTTAGCCTGTGACCACGGGAATCGACCCCGTCAAGTGTTAGACTAATACGGACAGAAGAAGGTACTGAGCAGAGAGAACGGAACGTTTTTTTAATGTGAAGACAACAACAACAACAACTCTAGTGGCTGCCGTTTCTGCTGTCGGTTCTGCTGCCGCTCTGCGACCAACTGATGCTCGAGGCCGCCCAGATACTCTTGTCGTGCGCCGGTTCCACACCTCTGCAAGTAGTGGCCCTAGCCGATCAAGGTTGTGTTTCAAATTCTCTCCCCGATGACTTAAGGCTTTCGCACCACCAACACAAAGCTTATCCCGTACCGCCACATTATTTTTCACCACAGGAATGACGTCCAAGCTCTACGGCAAGGCGGATGCCAATGGCTGCCAACTAGCGCACGGTGACACGGAGGGGTGGGGTAGGTTTCTCCCGGGCTTTTACCCACCCATGATTGGATGGGCAACGCACTCGGTCGAGGAGATGTTGGGTGGGGCGGAGAGCGGCACCACCCCCTCTCTGCGGGAGAGGTGGTTTCGGTCCTCGAGCCAACGGGGTCGGCCGCCACCCTAGAAAAAATTCAAGGACAGGTGCCGCACGTGCCGGTGAGCAGTGCCGCTGAAAAATCAAACTTCGGTGACTGTGGTTGAGGTTTTCGGTCCAGCGGGGAGGGAGTATTCGCTAGACTTCGACGGCTTTGCATTGGAATGGAGCAAGGCCGTGTCGCTCATGGAGGAGAGCAAGAGCAAAGTGATTCCCATCTTCCTGGAGACGGCCAGACTCCAGGGGCAGCGCACTGAAAACGTGAGTGCCACCCCCTTCTTGTCGAATTATGCCATCATGTTTTTTGCTTAGATCGTGAACGCTAGTACTTTCACCATGACCAACCAGCTTGCAAAGGGGGTGTCCCGAAGTAGTCCCTCTCGAGGTATGTCTCTTGCTTTTATGGTCATACGTGCCTTCCATGCCCACGTATGTACCGGTGACGTTGCCAGGCACCACGAGCTCGTGAACACGAGAATCACGTCACAACCTGTCCAGGGTCAAGACGCCCCCATCAGGAGGCGCCGTCGGAGGCCTTTCTGGTGGTCTTGCTTGACCTTGGGTTCTGGAGGCGTCGGAGGGATTTCAGTTGGCGGATCATCTGCCCTCCACTCCACCGTTCGCTCGTGGTTCTGGGGCTCACGGGCCATCAGCGAGAAGTGGAAATGTTGGCACCCCCGCGAAGCACTACCCACAACAGTTTTGGTCAGAAAGGGAACCCAAAAAATGTACCGTGCCAGAGCTTGCACCATGTGACTGTGAAAACGTCGCAGCGAAATGTAGTAAGGAAATCTAGCGGGGGGTGCGAGTGTGAATCGGCGAAGTAGCAGAGCACAACAGTAGTTGCTAGTTTTTGGACATCCTTTCACGGCGACGATGCCGATAGACCGAACCGACAACCGACGGGTGGGGGGATTAGACAACGGGGATCATGCGTATGTATACCCGTTTCGAGGACACGGCTGCAGCTGGGGAGAGCAGGACGAGTATGACAGAAAGTTTTGCGAAAATGTGTGGGGGGTTGGATGTGATGGAGGTGGCAGGAATACTTCAATATTTTGTTGAGCCCCCTTCCTACAGCTGCCCGATGTGATGTCTGTCTTAATTACTGATAATCATTGATTTCTTTTTGGCATCGTGTGCCGAGCGGAAGAGATGAGATTTAGACCATGCGTTTATTGGTATATCCCCTTTATCCCCGTTTGGTGACCAGCGATGGCCGACTAGTGTTTGCCCGGGACGTTTTGATGTCTTGACGCTTTATTGTGTGCTCTTTTATTTTCGCTGTTTTTTTTTGTGATTTCTGGGACCCCTTGTTTTTCTGTTTTCGGTGGTTGAGAATTGTGCACCCTTTTTTGGGCAGTTGACTTGTGACCACGGAAGGCGTCCGCGTCATGTGGAACTAGTATGGATGGTAGATGGTACTGATCAGAGACCGGGGGGGTGGTTAACAACGCGAAGAAAAATAACATCCTCAACCAGTCTCTTGCCAGGCAGGCGTGAATACTCTTCGAATTTGTATCTAAAACGCCCCGAAATGAACCCAGAGAGATGCCCACAGCAACTCCTATGCCCTTCGACTAGGTCGGGCAGCCCAACTGTTGATTTTGCCACCCCAATCGTCGGAAGAATAGCGCCATAAAAGCGCCCTACTGAGGCAAAACACTGCACTGCGCGCTTCGCGCGCCGAAACGCCTCATTCCATTTTTGGCGCCTCGCGCCAAAAATCATTTTAATTGCTGGGCCAGGTAAGACCATGGTTGTGCGGCCGAAATAATAGATCGGCTGCGTTGGAACCATCTCAAGAAGGGCTTCCCGAAAACTCATCACAATGATACGAAGATACGAAGCATCTCCCTCCATCCTCTTTTTCGTCGTAACGTACAACCGAAGTTTAAAGAGGTTTAATTTAAGGTCCAAGGGGTGTGAAAATCTTATGCAATCTACGACATCCACATCAATACAACACATTCATTCCTCACAACGCAAAGAAGCATGCAAATGCTACAGCAGTACAACAGCAGTCAGTTCCTTAGTACTTCAACAAGTACATCCTGTTGTACGTCCAAGGGTTAAAGCACTAATGCACACGTGTTGAGGGTGCATTTAACACGCAGTCATACCGGAATTCCCAAGTCTGGAAGAAAAAGACAACGTGCTAGTTCCTCGGAAGCGGCCCGGTACCTTTCGATCGTTCGTTGTCTTCGCCACAGCAAACCCACACATCTAGAGTTTGCCAACATCGTACGGTCTTCGGGCGATGTGTGGCATTTGCGCCTCGATCATGACGCCTGACGAACATCAACATAAAAGTCCTGTAGCATACAAATATTTTGTGTATTATCTTATGTTCTACGCAGAATCTACTGCCATATCCATATTATCTTAACTGAAACTGAAACCATCTTCCCGCCAGAACAACAGCACATTTACCCACATCTCTCACTTCTCTCTGGCTCATCACCTAGTCCAGCACAAAAGGAGGTTCTTGAATCCGCGCAAACACAAACCATTTTACTGTCATGTGCAACACCTACTACACAGAAATTACACAACATACAGCGGCGATCCTACAACGGGTGGATCGACACGGCAGCCATGAGGTTTCCGTGCTGCCCTCTAACTCACGACTCCAAAGACGAAGACCCAAGGACTCGAAACAAACAAAAAGCAGAGAGAACAAACAGCAGTAAACTGCAATGGGACAGTCCACGTCTTCACTCATCCAGCGTCAACTACATACTAGTACTGTGCAGCAGCAGTGGACGAGCGCTGGCTAAAAACTACACGAGGCACGTCGCCGAACCGGTGCGCCCTCCTTTTGATACGAGACTAACATCAGCATGGCACAAAAAAAAGACGCACGTGCTATTGGTCGCCTTGCTGCAGCTGCACCGTTGGCGAAAAAACACCTGGACATAAGTAACCCTGTCTCACAAACCAGATGTTGATAGCATTGGTGAAAGGTCGGCTGGTTTGTGTGCAAATCTTAGGTTCCAAGTCCAGCAAAGATAGACGCCACTACTGTAGATTCAAGACGTCGGCGCGACGACGACAAACATCTGGTCCGTCAATCGGCGTCAAAAAACGCAAAATAAACGTCAACCTTGGCATGCATTATCTTCTCCCAGCCGTACTTTCCAAACCAACCACGACCACCCCACCCTACCGGAAAACATCAAACGAAATAAAAGCGCGCCCCCTTAAGGACATCTAGCTTGGTTCGCCAGTGCTCAAAATTCTTTTCGCTCCGAGTGTAAGAAGGCAAGATGACATAAACGAAAAAAAGACTAAGGAAACAAAGATGGCACGTACTCCCACGCAGCAACAGGAGGCGAAACAAGGAACGTCTCCCGTTCAACAAAAAGAAATCTCGGCCATAAACAGAGAGGGTCGGCACCCACGAACATGGTGAGTGAAACCAAATACGACCCCAAAACTCGATCGTGTACCCAAGTGCGTCTTTACCGTCCCGGTACGAAAGGATGACAAGGTGGCACCTCGACGAGTCAGCAAGATATCCGAAGGATATTAAGGATGCACATGGTACGCGTGCTGCGCGCGGTGCGGCGTGTTTAGCAAGCCGGTTGGGAACGGGCTTGGTGTAGGACGTGCGGCATTCTTCAGCTGAAGACCATGCCAAGAAGGTCTTTAACGAAGGCCTTCTCGAAGGGCAGCATGGGCAACACCTCGTCTCTCTTCATGCTCCTGGTTAGCTGCGACATGAACTCCCGGCCCTGAACGGAAACACACAAGACAAAGAGGGAACGGGGGAACGGGAAAAAAATGAAGGATTGATCACACGAACGCGTTTACGCCGAAAACACGGGACCCGTACTAGCAACTGCAAATGTTCTCATAGCCCGGCAGGACAAAACCCCGAAAAACACGCGGTTGACGTCCTGGGAAATAGTCAAACTGAAAAACAAACAGGTGAGGTGGAATTGATTTACTCCGATTCAGTCCAAGCTTGTGACACCCCTCTTCCGGCAAGCACTACTTGTTGCCACCATCGAAACAAACGACGAATACCTGGGCCGTGGAGATGAGGTCGACGGACCACTTGAACGTCTCCGCGGAGGACACGAACGGCCTGAGGGTCTGCTCCGCCAACGTTTCCGCGTCCTTGCTGAGAGCCGTCGCCGCGGCGAGTTCTCTCGTGGCCCTCTTCCCTTGCATGGCGTCGCCCGCTAAGAACGACTCGACAGCCACGGCGCGCGAGCATACCTAAGGGGTGGAAGAGAGCAGGGGGGACGACGACGCACAAACTCGCGTTTGGGATCATCGATCACACACAAGTTGTTGAAAAACGAAGCACCTTCTTGGTTCGCCCCAACTATTCAATAATGAAACTCTCAGAAACAGCAACAGAACCTGACCGCATTCCGACGCGAATCGTATCAAATGTTGGACCTATCAGTACTCGCCACACACACGTTACCTTTATCTAGAAAAACAACATACCACAGCAGTAGCAGACAGACATACGTTGAGCCCGGTGACTGCACCAAAAAAAAGTACGCCATGTCAAAACAAGACATCCGCGAACAAAACGACACAAGATGGTGCCACAACCACCGTACACACCTTGACGAGTACTTTCGCGTCTTCGACCGTGCGGACGGCGAAGTCCCGCACGCCGGCAAGGTCGCCGTACAGCGCCGCGATGAGCCTCTGCTGGTCCGACCCCTCTGCCGACTCCTCGCACGTGTCGCAGCGGCTGTACCAGCCCCCCAGCACGGTCGCGTCGGTCGAGTCCTCGGCCTTGTTGGTCGTCGACGAGCTCGTGTGGCTGCTAACGCTACTGTTGGAACGATTGCTGCGGCTACCGCCGTCGCTACCGCTCATCGAGGCCGTGGACGAGGAGTTGTTGCCGTCGCTGTCCTTGTCGCCGCCGACGCCGGTCGCCGTCGTCGATACGACCGCCTTCCCTTCCGACGAGGCGGGAGCGGCCAGGCCACGGAGGTCCACGCCCGAGTACGCGTCCGGCCCCTGCGGGAACGGGAACGTCGCCGCGTCGGTCTGGCTCGCCTGCGGGCGGAGCCTCTTGTTGGACTCGTGCACAAGCTCCGGGTAGTCGGTGCAAAGCCCGTCCACGCCCATTTTCTGCCGTTCCACGGGAAAAAAAAAAGCAAAGGGGAGGAAGCGGAGAAAAGCTTAGAAGGAAATCCGTCCGCACGAGTAACGAACAGGCCCACTCGGGTCACACAGCACGGACGCCATCCTTGCATATTCGGAATGCACCATCAGCGGGTGTATACGGTGCCCTCGACACCTACGTACAAGGCTTACCAGGCAACTACTGTAGCAACACGACGCACTCCACACTCACCAGCAGGCGCTCCATGAAGTGCAGGCTGTTGACGGTCCACACCCAGACTTGGATGCCGCGCCTCTGGCAGTCGGCGACAAGGTCGGGGCTCACGTGGTCCTTGCCGGTGCTCAAGATGTCCACCTTCAGCGCCTTGAAGTCGCGCGCCAGGGTAAGGGGCCCGCCGTCCATAATGCAAGCGGTCCGGAGATTTGCCAGCTCGGGAATGGCCTGCCTAAACGCGTTGACCTGAGACACGGTAGTTCCGAGGGTGTCGTGTGTGTGTGTGTGTGCCGGAGCGAGGCAAGCCAGGGCTGTCAGAGGCTGGTTGTCGTTTGCAGAATTCCTCCATATCAGCGACGGAGGGAGACAGGACACCTTTCCGCCGTTGTGCTTGAGAAGCGGGCCACCCATCCCCATCCCCATACTTCGCAAGTGAGCATGATTGGTGGCGCACATAAGGTTTCTCTCTCCTTACGTGAAATATTTTAGTGCGGTATGACCTGCTTCTTTCTCTCTCCCGTCAACTATACCTCGAATCTTGCTGACTATCTCACCTGCAAAAGGTCAAGCTGGCGGAAGGTCGCCACGACGAGCCTGTCCGCCGTCCACCCCCACCGGTCCACCGCCTGCATCACCGCGTGCAGAACCGGCCTCACGATCTCGGTGTGCTTCATGTCGATGTACAGGTGCACGCCGGACTCCGACAAGGCCTTCTCCTGGAGCATCTCCTCGAAGGTCGACACGCTGTGCTTGAGCCTCTCGCGGGTCTGGGCGAGGGTCAGGTTTTCGATCCACTCGCCTGCGGGCCATCAGGCGGTAGGGGAGAAGGCCGGCCCGGGACGGTGCACGTGAGATATTTCGCCGCACTTTCTGAAGGTGCAACAATCTCAGAGTATACAACAAAATATTGTTTGTTGCAGGAGCGAGCGGTCATCGTTGGGGGGGGGGAAGGTGTCCGTCACGTCACGGTGGCAAAATACAACAAGCGGGCAGGTTGCCCTGCGGACAAAGCGAACGCGAGCAACCAACGCATTCCGGTCCCTTGGGTGTGCCGGCCGGGAACCCTTACCAGACTCTTCGATGAGGGGGTCGTGATGGCAGATAACGACCCCATCCGAGGTCGTGAGGACGTCGAACTCGATCACATCCACGCCAAGCCTGACGGCCTCCAGGAATGACGGCATCGTGTTGCCCTCCACATGCCTGCAGTTGTTTTGTTCGTTTGGCAGGAGGGGAGAGGGGGCACGTGAGATTCGGCTTCGGCAACGAAGAGCACTGCGCACAACTTCCGGAGAACCAAGCGTGCACTAGACAGACATATATACGAGGTTCATCCGCACTCGCACTGAAGTGCGCTTACATAACTCCACACTCTATTGTGGGGACGTGACGTTACCAGCCGCTCCGGGACTGTCGTCAAGGTTCATCCCAAACACATGACTATGAACAAAGTCGGGTGGCACCTAACCAGTAAATCATTCTAAGCGAACAACCACATTCTTAAACGCGTGACGCGCACTATTGTGTGTCTCTCACGTATATCTACGAGAAATTCGTTCGGAATCCCGACTGAGTAGCGGCAGGGCACGTGCCCTGCTTGTGTCGTTTCCACCGAAATCACAAAATTACAAGTTTTGTCGGCGGCAAAAGGGCAAACTTGAGGTACACAGGGTTGGAAGAGCCGGTGCCGGCGGCGTCACGGCACCAGTACGTACGTGTTCGTTTGTTCAACCTTGAAACCTTGACGTTGGGCGAAAAAACGTGCGGTGGAAAAGGAGACACAAAATGCCTCTATGCATATGAGACTGGGAGTGTGATCGGCGGGAAGGGGGGACTAGACACCCCAACAACAGCAGTGCATAGTATTGCAAGCCGCCTGGGTGTCGGTACAGTATCACATTTCCTGAGTCCCTATGGAATCACCGTTGTACTTTCGTGGCGGGTGCCAACCACAGATTTAGCTGGTATGCATACCTGTCATACAGCACTACAGCACTAGTCAGTCGTTGTCATGTTCTTACAAACTCCTGTAGAATCCATATGCCTGCAATTCTCACCAAGATACAAACGCCTTGCTTCTGCTCCCAACTAAAAGACACAGATGGCATCAACAAGACGGCGGTGCTTCGAGCCTTCGGTGAACGCAATTGTAACATGTGGGAATGCATGCAAGCAAAACGAGCGCGCGCGCGTTTTTGAGTGCCCGGGCTAATGGCTCACCCGGCAGCGCCCTTGTGTCCGATGTTGAGAGCCTTGCCCCACTTCGAGCTGTGAACGTCGCGATTGGCGACGGGCTCCGTGCCGTCCAGCCTTGGGCTCGGCGCGAGCAGCGAGATGGCCTTGAGCTTGGACAGGGTGAGGTGCAGGTCCACCGACACCCGCCTCGCGACGCGAGACACCTGGCTTTCTGAAGCCCACCTGTGCGAGGAGAGAAAAAAAAACATAACGCCGAAACATCTTATTGAGCCCCGCAATCGTCCAGATTTACGCACACCCAGAGCGCGCCGCCGCGCGCGAACGTGTGTGGACCAACAGGACGACGGGGCTGGTGTGCGCGCGATTTGATCGGGCTCAAACGCTCTCTCGACGAAAAAGGGAAAGGGAGACCACGTGTCAAACGGTGCGGAGCGTCTTGTGCATGCTGATGATGTTTCGGCGTCATCGTTCCAAGATTTTCCAACACATCATCGGGTGACAAGACGACGAAAACGACACATTCCTGTCCTCCGTCTCCGCCCAAACCTTGGGGGAACGCGGGCATGGCGGCGGAGCACTAGCGTACACATACACCCACGCGCGACCAGCGTGGGACTTGTCGTATCTCGTCGCTGCAGAGCAGCTAGCTCGCGGACGGAGCCGAAGTAGGGAAATTGGGAGAGAATTCGTTGAAGCTTCCAGTATAGTGCGGTGAAGCTACAGCAGCAAGTAGATCATGTACGGCGTGTTGTCTTAACATGAGGGCCCCACGTGCGTTCTAGGACCACGGTGCGAATCAACAAGTGTGGGCATTAGGTGACTAGCACAGGCATGGTTCTGCCATGACGGTGCGAACAAAGGTACTTTGCCAAAGGGAGGACGTGAGGTATGAAAATCAATATTTGATTCGCGCGAACCCGCTCTCTGTGACGTTTCACACACACGCGGGAGTCACGAATCAACACCACAGCCCCGGATGACTGCGGTTCCCTTAAGCTGGCTATATATATACTCGTTGGCTCGAGCACGCGGGCGGTTAGATGCCCGCCAAGGTTATCGTCGGCGCGCGCGCGGGGGGGGACTTGCCGGCTTCTCAACCCACACGTGGGCCTGATGTTCAACCAAGAAAAATCTCTCCATATTTTTTGTTCCAACGAAACACAAGCGGCTGCTGTCTCTATCTTCTCTCACATTGCCTTTGTCGAGCTCGAGACGACGCGCCACTGCAGCATGTCCTTCATCCTCAGAAACACCAGGACGGAGGACATGAGCTCCTCCGGGAGAGGCATCGCCATCGCGGGACGGACCGGTTCGATGTGTGGCTCTGGCGCTTGTTCCAAACCTTGTTGTTGGAGGTGACCTAGCAGGACCATTCTTTCTTCTCTCCGTAAATCAATCACACCAAATGAAAAGGTAGATGTGTGCAGACGGGCAAACTACACCTGATGATGAGTGAGCGACTGGGGGTCGGGCGCGCTCCTCCTTCTCTCTAACACTTCAATTCTGAGAGTACCTCAATGTTGATTTAACACCGGGAAGCCCCACCAGAGTGAGAGAGACATGGTCTCTTTCTCCGACTTTTCAGTCACGGGAAAGACAACGCCCCGGTGAATTGAATGTTAATTGATGCGAAGCTTCGATCCTCCTTTGTTCTGCACTAGGCCAATCAAAATGTCATCTGAAAAGAGGCTCCGCGAAAATCGGTGGTACCCACATGTTGAGCTCCGGAGCGACGCAGATAATAGTAATATTACATACGTAGGAAACATGCACGGTACCTCTCTCGCGCTTCGGGTGGTGTGCTGTGGCATGGTCCTGCACAAGCACGGGCGCCAGAGCATGCGCAGCAGTGGTGTCCATTCACGCACCCACCATATGCGCACAGCGGTGCCCGTTTACTCACCAGCAGCCGAAAAATCGAGCGTTAGATGAGGGAAAATCGTCCCCCAGGTGCGGTGGTTTCTTGGGTTGATGTGTTGCCGATGTCGGAGAGTTTTCACGAGTCGCGCCCAGATGGAAACACAGCAGTTCGTTGGCCGTCTCTGTGCGCTGCTCATCCAGATGATGCTCACGCCATGTCTTGGCTTTGCTGGAATGTTGTACAGCAGTATTACATGCACGCGGGCCTGGGAAAAAACTGTGCGGTGGTCTCCGCAACACTGGTATATAGGTACACTCGACAAGAGGAGGTTGCCGACAGCAACACTCGTGTCGCGTTTCATAACCATGTAACCATGGACTCGATCCATTCTCTACATTTTTTTTTTTTTCTTAATATGACACAACGAAACCATCTCTATCATAGAAAAGAGTCTGAGACAGATTAGCAATGGATTCATAGCGTCAGAAAGTACCTGTATGTCTACGATTTCCCAGACAGCATATAGGGACATCTCCCCTGCGGGTAGAGAGTACTAATATTACCGAATGAGGCTCTTCCCGTTCCAGGAGATTCGGCTGCATTTCGATGCGCAGATTGCTTTCCATGCGAATCGAAGCCCGTGAGTGTTCTGCTGTGTTCGGTCGTCACAGCGCGCCTATTCCGGCCTCGGGACTCGCCCTACACGCCGAGCTACGGCTGCTCAAAGCCGAAATCGGGTGCTGCCGGTGACGTCATCCCATTCATTTAGCAAGACTGGCGTCCGTGACAGATTTAGGATCTTTGAAAATACGAGGAATCAGCGATAGCTCCGCGCACACACACTTTTAGAACACCCCGAAGCGTCCATGTGTTCCGCTGGGTTCGGCCATCATGACGCACCACCTCCCGTCTCGAGACTCCCCCTGCACGCTGAGCTGTGGCAGCAAGGGGCTGGGTTGTGGGGAGCCGTCCGTTCATTGTGCAAGACAAGCAATTTCGCCTCTTTCTAGCGGCTGCTGGAAATGCACACAATTCTTTGCGCTCAGCGACGCATAGATATGCGTAGCTCTCCTTAGGTGTGTCCCATCTTCGGGGGATTTGGGGTTCGGCGCGCCACTTACCGCCTCGAGCTTCGACGTCGTGGCGGAGTTGCGTCTGTTTGAAGCCGTCATCTCGAGTTTTCGGTGACGTCACCAATACATATTCCAACACGTTGGTTCTGGCTCTTGCGAGGATATGCTGTTTTTCGTGCAGTCGCGAGTTTATCGTCCGCGCGCACGCTTTTGCCGAAAAAAACGCGCGTGGCGTGCTGCCCTCAGTCTCCCGGTGTCGTCGCACCCGTTTTCGACCGCCGGCTTTATCTACACGTTCAGTTTGTTGGGGGTGAAGTTCGTGTGGGTGAATGGATCTTCAGCCACGAGTTGTACGGAGCGACGGGCCGCAACAGAAAAAAATTGGTTCTGCCGTGTTGAATGGTGTCGGTTCGGGTGAGCTTTGTAACGTATGTCCGTGACGCGCCGCAATATTTTGAGTGTTGACTGTTGCGCGTAGAGTTTGTCCCGGAGAGTCTGGCTGGTGGTTACCCCCGAGGCTCACTTCCTTCAGCTCCCACTGCCAACACCAAACATCAAGCTTGAGTCACCATGTTCAAGGGATCCCCCGCGAAGAAGATCAAGACAGATTCATCGTCCTCCAAGCGCAAGTTCCTGGCCGGCAACCCACTCTGGCCGTGCCCCAGCATCTACTGCGAGGGGCTACAAGCTGGTCTGACCAAGACGCAAATTTGAAGGTTAGAGCGGATTTCCCACGCGGTTTTTTCGAGTTAGAACCTGAAATTTTGACACGGCATCTGCATGAGTACTATAAACACAAAGGCCACTGCGCTATTTGGATTTTTTTTATTATTTCGTAAGTTAGTGCGGAGGTGTACCGATGCGAAGGTGTACCGATTCTGGTAAAAGTCAATCGACGGATACCCTGCGACCCTGCGAATCGGGTCCTCCTTAACACTCTCCACCCACGGTGCACCCCACGTTGCACCGGTGCCATAGAAGAGGGCCAATACGTCGTGAAGGACTGGAACGACCCGCCTCTTCACCTTCAGTGCGCCAAGCGCCTGTGGCGAACCAAGGTCAACGAGATCCTCGCCGACAAGAAGGACCTCAAGGACATCGGCACGACTGCGGAGAAGGAGAGCTCCCAGCCTTCGGCGCCGACCATCGACCTTTAAAGTGAGATCTTTCCGTGCTTTGAAATCATATTATTTTAAGTTCACACTGTGAAGTCGTAAGTCATAAGTCAATGCGTTTAACGCAAGTGCCGAGCTCTCGTGTTACACGATCGATGTCTCGACAGCACTCGGAAACACCAATAACAAACCCTCATATCACACGCGCAGCTTCAAACCGTCAACGACCGAATAATGAAACGACTCAACCTGCTGTTTCTCGCCAACATTCACCGCCAGATCCGAGTTCTCGTGTAACACGTTCGGCATCTCGGCAAGAATCTCTGCGTGTTCAAACTAATATCTCTTCCAGGCGGGCTTCAGTTAGACAAGCTGCACGAAGAGAGAAAATTCTACAACAAAACCGAATACGAAACACCCAACAAACAAATGACGTAGCGCGTTCCGATTCTAGGCGAACCTCTGCAAGACTAGCTGAGCGAAGAGAGCAAACTGTGCAACACACTCGAGCACAAAATACCCGGTGACCACTTCAGAATCCTCCGAGTGACTCTGATGACGACAGTGATGTATCCCGCGACGGTAGTGTTGGCGACGAAAGCGACAGTGCGCTTAGAACGATTCGAGAACACTTCAACGACATGCGTGGACGTGCACCTAGACGGCCAGCAAGTAACGTAAATGGTGAATCTCGTGACGACGATGACAATCTATCATATGGGGTGCAGCCTTTCAACTGCCTTCACCCCAACGCTCCACTGTATTCACACGAACTCGAATATCCTTCTCTCGATCACGACATGAATCATGTCTGCAAGCACTGCGACGCCATTTTGTGGAAGGAAGAAAATCACACATACAACTGTTGCAACGGGGGCAGATCTGCCTTGCCGCGTCTTCGACCGGTTCCCCTGAATCTGATGTCCATATTCAGCTCGCCCAGGTTCCGTGCAGGACAAAGACAATATAACGGTTTGTTTGCGTTTACTGGGCTGGGTGCAGGAGGTATCGAAAAACGGACATGGACTGGGCCCCCCGCTCCATCGATGCTGACGTTGCACGGAAGAGCGTACCATAGAATATTTGACTTGCAGCAGCAATACACTGACATGAACGTTTCCAACAGCGCCCGGTTTTACATCTATGACTCAGATTTTAATTCTCATTCAGCTTCGTTGAACCTCGACAATCAAATCGCACATACATTGAGAAACCACGTCAACAACAACATTCCCTGGGCACAGCAGTACCGTTCGGCTGTGGGTTTAATCAACCAAGCTTCCGCGGACGATGACAACACGCCGTTCATAGAATTCGCCCAAGTAAGTCGGGCAAATGATGGACCAGTCGTTGGCGACGCCGTATCAGCCCCGGAGATTGCGGCTTTAGTTTATACGTCGAACGCACAAAACCCCGGGCCCCGAACAGTGGTCACCTACCCAAGAAATAGTCCAGATGAAAAACCAAGGTTCCTCCCGCTCTGGAGTCCAACATACGAGACTCTTCAGTTCCCGATGCTGATGCTGCACGGGGAAGCGGGATGGAGCAAAGGACACCCAAACGAGGACCCTCCGTACAACTCTAAGACTATGAATAGAACCAACACATCCCACGTCACATTTCCCTTTTACTGCCGGCAACGTCTACTCAGTGAACCAGTATTTAAGCGAAACAGCCGCGTCACCCAAGAATGGGCTTGCGATTCTTTGAGTAGAATGGAAGAGGAGCGATTGACCTTTGTTGAGCACGGCCCTTTACAACGACGCCTCGCAACGGACCGGTCCATTAGACAGAGCTCTTCAGACGCGCAGCCCGGAAAGCTGCTGCCAGCAAGTCACCCGGGCTCAATGGCCAAACGAAAGTCCGACACCGAGGACGCGTTAGCCATAGTAAACAGAAGGGGTAAACCTCATATTTTCGTGACCGTCACCTTTAACGCAGACTGGAAAGAAGTCAAAGACAACCTTTTGAACGGGCAGAGCGCGTATGACCGCCCGGACCTTTGTTGTCGTGTTTTTAAATTGAAATTGAACGCGATAATGAAAGAGATAAAGAGTGGAAGGGTCTTTGGTGAGTATGACAGTCATTTGAGTGTTCTCGAATTTCAAAAGAGAGGCTACCCTCACGCACACATCCTGTTCACCTTCAAAAATGATGGCCCGGATAAGCTCAACCAAGTAGACGAGTGGGTTTGGGCACAACTTCCGTCTGCAGACCTTGCTGATGGGAAACTCCGGGAGAAAGTTTTGAAGTATATGATACACAGGCCTTGCGGTAGAAACAATGTTCACTCGACCTGTATGGAGCTCAACCGCGATACAAACACAAAGCGTTGCGGTAAACACTATCCTCAACCGTTTAGAAGCACGGCCACAATAAACGGCCGCACCGGGCGTGCAGAATACAAACGGACAGACAATGGCGACAATCCCACAATACGAGTAAGAGTTGACGGGAAATGGCAAAACGTTCGCATCGGTAATGAGTGGGTGGTTCCGTACAACCCGTATTTGCTGTTGATGTTTGACTGTCACATTTGTGTCGACGTCGTCACTGCCACTTCATGCGTTAAGTAGTATCTCTTCAAGTATGTGCACAAAGGGGCAGACTATGCTAAAGCAAGGATTCAAGGCATCACAAGCGAGATAGAACAATATCGAAAAACAAGATACATATCTGCAGCCGAAGCCGTATGGAGGTTATTCGGATTTCAGATGGTCAGCAGATTTCCGGCCGTGACAAAGGTTCACGCGCACCTGGAAGGTGAACAGTACGTCACTTACCCCGATGACGCCACGCCTGAAATGCGCCTAGAAATTGCCGAAAACTCTCCGTCTTCCCTCATGACTTATTTCCAACGCCCGACTGACGCCATATTCGACTCACTAACCCTGTTGGACTACTACGAACAATTCACCGTCACAAAGCCGAAGAAAGACTTCCCCAAAACCGACATCCGCACCGCCGGGGAAGTTCTTAGACTCCTATGGTAACATAATATCATCCAGATCACAAAATAACCAACATGTGTGTCGCATCATGTTCCAAAGTCCCGCCGTTGGAGACTTATTCTATCTCCGACTGTTATTGCACACGATTCCTGGAAGATGTTTCGACGATCTCCTTCTAGTGCCTCGGCCTGACTCTACATGCTTTAAACACGCAACTTTCCATGACGCCGCCCGAGCGCGGGGATTGGTGACTGGTGACGAAGAGTACACCCTTTGCATGGAGGAAGCAGCCTCTTTCCAAGTCGGACACCACCTTCGCGCACTGTTCGTTACCCTCATTTTAGATGGAGCTTCAGCCCCAAAATTGTGGGCAGAGTTTAAATTCAATTTGATCGAAGACTTCACCCTAATCATGGCACAAGATGAATCAGTCCAAGAAGCCCTTAAGGAGATCGATTTAAAGCTTCAGTTGCACGGCAAAACCAACGAGCAAGTAAATCTTCCTGCAGCTGTGCACTCAAGAACAGAGTATGAGAGAATGAAAGACTCATTTAACTTGAACGACTGTAAGACATACGCCGCAACTCACGAGCGCAATCTGACCGTTGAACAACGTCACGTATACGACACAGTTATCCACTCGGTCAACAGCGAACAAGGGCAACCTTACATGATCGATGCACCGGCCGGCACAGGGAAAACATACACAGAAAAATGCCTTGCTGCAAAGCTGAGAGGTGACGGAAAGACTGTCTTGATTGTCGCGTCGACAGGGATTGCTGCTCTGCAGCTTCCCGGTGGCTGGACGGCGCACTCAATGTTCAAGCTTCCCATGGACGAAAAGATGTCTCCTTCGTGTGTGTGTAACATCAGCGCCCAAACTCAACGAGCAGAATTAATTCGAAAAAGCGACCTCATCATATGGGATGAACTTCCGATGACTCACCGATTCTGTGTTGAGGCTCTCGACCGAACACTAAAGGACCTCATGCGTAACACCTTGCTCTTCGGTGGCAAGACGATCTTATTTTCGGGTGATTGGAGACAGACTGGACCGATTGTCAAGTTTGGGTCTCCTACTGACACCGTTGATGCGGCGGTGATTTCAAGCCATCTATGGAGTAATATCTTCCGCCTTAGACTCACGAAATCTCAACGTGATGGAGACGATCCTGCCTACGCGTCATTTGTAAGAAATGTGGGAGAGGACGCACTGCTGACAACGACCCTGCCCGACGGTAGCAACCTCATCCCTTTGAACAACAGCTGCACGGATTCGCCAGACCAATTCCAGCTGCAATACACGACAAATTTCAACGACTTAGTCAACTTCGTGTACCCTGACATGTCAGAAGACGCGACGGCGTGGAGCGACCGTGCAATTTTGGCCACAACCAACAACGCCATTGATCGTTCCAACGAAATAATTTCAGACGAGCGACCGGGACGTTCTGTGTC